TTCCCTTCTTCCTTCCCTTCCCTTCTTCCTTCCCTTCCCTTCTTCCTATCCTTTCCTTTCCTGGGATGGAGTCTTGCTCTGTTGCCAGGCTGGAGTGCAGTGGCATAATCTCAGCTTACCACAACCTCTGCCTCCAGGGTTCAAGCGATTCTCTTGCCTCAGCCTCCAGAATAGCTAGGACTACAGATGCATGCCATCATGCCTGGCTCATTTTTGTACTTTAGTGGAGACAGGGTTTCACCATGCTAGCCAGGATGGTTTCGATCTCCTGACTTTGTTATCCACCCACCTTGGCCTCCCAAAGGTCTGGGATTACAAGTGTAAGCCACTGCACCTGGGCCCAGATTTCTTTTCTAAATATTGCTTCTTCAATTAGAAACTTTGAAAGTGCAGTATTTTAGAAAGACATGACAGAAGGAGTGTTGATGAGAGATGCAATCTCTTATTTTCATCACTTCAAGAAATGAATTTCTTAGAGTCACAAATTAAGTTCCAGTGAAGTTTGAGTAAAGAGCCTTGCGTGGGGTGCAGTGGCTCACACCTGTAATCCCAGCACTTTGGGAGGCCGAGGTGGGTGGATGACCTGAGGTCAGGAGTTCAAGACCAGCCTGACCACCATGGAGAAACCCCGTCTGTACTAAAAATACAAAAAATTAGCCAGGCGTGGTGGCACACTCCTGTAATCCCAGCTACTCTGGAGGCTGAGGCAGGAGAATCGCTTCGACCTGGGAGACGGAGATTGTAGTGAGCCAAGATCATGCCATTCTACTCCAGCCTGAGCAACAAGAGCAAAACTCTGCCTCAAAAAAAAAAAAAAAAGAAGAAGAAAAAAGAAAGCGCCTTAATGCATTTCCAATTAACAAAAGAATTCAAAAGCTTTATATACAAGTAAAATGATGAAAACCATGCAGGTTTTCATCACAAGTAACTGTGTATATAGCTTCCAGATTTATGGTTACTGTTAGGCACGTCACTCTCTTAAAGAGACCCCCCCAGGCAGGCTTTCTGTGGGCAATGAAGCAATTTTATTTCGCAATTCGGTGCAAGTTGGCCAAGTCCGAGAAAGGAGTTAAGCAAGGGGAGTAGGAAGGGGGACTGGTTAAATAGGTTGGGGCAAATGGTCAGTTAAAGATGATAATCTACTTTAGGGAGGGGGAAGGTATCACGGGGTGCATGGTCACAAGGGTAGGGGTCATCTATTACAAACAGGCATGGTCATAAGGGTGAGGGTTATCTGTTGCAAGCAGAGGGGAGGGTGAGGTAAATTACATAGTCACAGGGCTGGAGGTTTTGAGAAACCTAATGTCTAGGGGGAAATTTGTGCAAGGCTAAGCAGGAATAATGGTTGAAGGTTGCAGGGGAAGAGCAATCAGTTGAGGCAGGAACTAGTTGTTTCACTTCCCTTTGTGGCCATCTGGTTACTTTCTGGCTCCTGGAGACCATCCAAAGGTGTACATGCATGTCACCAAGGCTATGATGGCCAGGCTTGGTCTTGGAGGCCTGACAGTTACATTTCACAAGAATACTTTAAACTTTAAAAAACATAAAGGACTTCCTATGTACAAATTATTCAGGATACCATATAATTAAAAATACAGAACAGGTATAATCTAAAACCAAAGGATTCTTACTGCAACATGAGTTAAGCCTTAAAGTTTTAGCATCTTCAAATCAAATGCCTTGCGAAGAGTTCCAGCCTTTAATCTTATTTCTAGTGAAACAGCTTTCTAGTTTAGAGTCTTGCCTTCCTGCCGCACCTAATGGAAATGTTAAGGAACAGCAGCGTCACCATCACCTGGGGGCTTATTTATACAAATTGCTGAGCTCCATGTAGATCTACTGAAGCTTGTTAAGTGATTAAATTTGAGGCTTAAGCTTCAATCTCAATCTTCTCCCTCCAAGGTTCTTCATGTATAGCTGATAATTAGAGATTGTTAAGCCTCTGGCAGTCATCTGCCTCCACAGAAATGATGACTAGAAAAGTGAAATTAGCAGAAATAAGTAAGAGAATAGAGAGCCAATGATGTTGATTTGTTAACAGGTTTATTGTTAATACGACAAGACTTAGCATATCATGCACTTTCCTTGCCCAGTGCTTTTGGCTGCTTAAAAAAGAATTTGTTCTCACAATATTTAATTTGAATCAAGATAAGAGGTCATGACCCCTGGAAAAAAATGATTTTTTTTTTTTTTTGGAGTCTCACTCTGTCACCCAGGCTGGAATGCAGTGGTGCAATCTTGGCTCACTGTAACCTCTGCCTTTTGGGTTCAAGCACTTCTCTGTCTCAGCCTCCCAAGTAGCTGGGATTACAGGTGCCTGCCACCATGCCTGGCTAAGTTTTGTATTTTTAGTGGAGATGGGATTTCACCATCTTGGCCAGGCTGGTCTTGAACTCCCGATCTTTAGTCCACCTACCTTGGCCTCCCAAAGTGCTGGAACCACCGCGCCCAGCCGAAAATGAATTTTATATAGACTTTCACCTGACCACAAAGTCCAGTTCTGTGTAGGTGCTTCTTTTCTATGTCTTTTTGCTCAGTTTACACTAATACAGCTAGGTTGATTGAAACAGATAACATGTACTTGTGAAAAAGTTTTACAGGACAGATATATTCATAAGAATTTGTGCCCCCCAGATTGAGTAGCATTAAATACAAATTATATCAGTTTTTTTTTTAACTCTCTTGGTGATGGATTTGAGATAAAACGTTAGTGGGTTCAGGCTTTTTGTTTATTTTGGTGGCAGTGCAGAAGATATTAGGAGAAGAGGCTTCTATGCATAAAACAGCACAACAGTTTTCAACCAGGTCATCTGTTGGCTGAAAGCTCAGAGCTGTGCTCAGATTTAATTTTAAATGTGATCTGAATTGGGTAATATAAAAGTCTAAAAAGATGAAAAGTTCAATGAAAAGAATGGTGGAAAACAAGTAAGTTCTTAACAGTAGAGTGGCTCTTAGGCATTCTCAATAGACTGTTGTTTGTGTTTGGGGTGGGACAGTTCCTCATTGCCAGAGAATGTTTTCTTCTTTTTTTTTTTTTTTTTTTTTTTTTTGAGACGGAGTTTCGCTCTTGTTACCCAGGCTGGAGTGCAATGGCGCGATCTCGGCTCACCGCAACCTCCGCCTCCTGGGTTCAGGCAATTCTCCTGCCTCAGCCTCCTGAGTCGCTGGGATTACAGGCACACGCCACCATGCCCAGCTGAATTTTTGTATTTGTAGTAGAGACAGGGTTTCACCATGTTGACCAGGATGGTCTTGATCTCCTGACCTTGTGATCCACCCGCCTCGGCCTCCCAAAGTGCTGGGATTACAGGCTTGAGCCACCGCGCCCGGCTGAGAATGTTTTCTTCTTTCAGAAGGTTTAGCATCTCTGATCCCAACTCAGGAGAAGCTGATTACATTTCCTCAGTTGAAGTGATGACCAGAAATGCCCCATGTATTTCAAATCCTCTGAGGGTCAGCCACTAGTTGACAATCATTCTTAGAGGACAGCACTTTACTCTCCCATGGACTGGGATACTTAAAACCTTCCTCGTTCGCGTGTCACACAGGTTTATCAGTTACATGCAGAGTGCTGAGAACAGGGACTAGCTCACAGTAAATGCTCAAAAGTTATGAACTGTTATTATTTCAATTCCATCAGTCCTTTAATTTATTAGGCATTCACTTTATAATAATTTAGATAATTATTATTAAGTATTCTTTTTAGGCTATTCGCTCAAGGATAATCATCTCATAAGGGACTGATATGGATACTGGTAGGAATATAGAAAAATAACAGTTAAGTCTCATGATGCAAGAATGTCTGAAAAGGATTTTCATTTAGCAAAACGTCAAGTGAGAAAAAATTTGCTGGACAAACCCTCCCTCAATCTGCCAGAAAGCTGTGTCCCTTCAAATCTTTCATCAGCACTTAACTGATGTTCACAGTTTGCAAAGATGTAGAGGAGCGCAGGTCGGTCCTTAAATCCCAAAGTTTGCTCTAGATTTAATTGTGAAAACCAGGTTCGGCACAAGAAGGACTTTGCAGTTTCCAGTCTCATATTAACAACCCTAACTGTAATTTTTTAAAGGTAGAATATCCATTTATCTTCTTGTAATCAACATTTTTTAAAAAGCATCAGCTTTTCCATGCCTTCTCATGAATTATTTCTTTGTGATACAGTTTTTTCCTTAGCCACACATCCCATTAAACCCATTAAACATTGGGTTTAATTTATGTAAATAAACACATTACAAAAATATTACAGGATATATGGCCTAGAATTTATTGTAATTGGCTTTGATGTTAATAAGGGATAAATATGGCAATTCTGATCAATGAGAGTACTGCTATGCACCTGAAGCATATATATGTCAGTACCATTGTGAAGAAGGATCGGCCGCAGACCACTTGGACACTGAACTAGGAAGGAAGAGGAGTTTTATTATTATTATTACAGTCGGGAGCCAGGCAACATATTTGTCTAACAACCAAGCTCGCTCAACAAAGAGAAGGTCTGCCTTTCTATAGGCTTACACTCTGGATATTGCACATAAAATGATGTTAGGTTTACAGCCTTAGAAATTACAAGTGAAAGGGTCTTGGGTTTACAGCCTTAGAAATTACAAGTGAAAGGGTCTTGGGTTTACAGCCTTAGAAATTACAAGTGAAAGGGTCTTGGGTTTACAGTTTTAGAAATTACAAGTGAAAGGCTCTTGGTCGATGGAGGAGTGGGGTAGGGGTTTGATCTTGTTTAAGCAAAAACAGTGTCTTCCGGAGAGATTCCCCCATACCACACCTGCTATCTTATAGGAAGGTGATTTAGGAGGCGCCTGTCGGCC